AGCACCAGCACCACCACGACCATACACTCCCTGCCGCCACCATTCGCCACCACAACGACTAGAACAGCAACAGCAAAGGAAGCAGCAATAGCAGCAGTGTAGCGAAACGTCATCAGAGTGGTCACCTCCATCGTCATCATCTTTACGAGTAGTGAGTAGTAGAACAGCAGGCGATGAAGAAACATACGCGGAGCGCAAGTTTGCAAGGGTAGGACCTGAGACGAGCCAGCAAGCTAATGCCTTGTGCCGGCTGCGATCGTTGTAACTTTCTTCCTACGCTCGAATGCCCTGTCCTCTGCCTGTTTCTTTGTGCGAGGTCAAGATCACTTATGTGGCTACGTTCCCCATCATGGGGGGGCCCAGCTTTGGGCGGATTCGGGGAGACGCAGGATACCGCGTGAGAGGCATTGCTTCTTGCAGGGCACATCTTGCGATCGCAACATAAAAGAATTGAGCGATCAGTGCAGAGGCTATACGTGGATGGCTTCTTGCCGACTGCCATTAACCTTCAGTTACAAGATGTTTATCAACATCGAAAGTCAACGCCGGCCGGTTGCTTCTTGGCTCCTCGGCTTGTAAGCACGGCCCCGTAGCGCATGCCTCTGCCAGGTCCTGTGCGCCAGACATGGACAGCTCGCCGGGTCTAGATGCTAGCTAGCCGAGTTCATTCGCAAGCTGGGAAAGGCCAAAGTGATTTCTTAGGGTTGCCGGTGGGCACAAAATGGCTCACACCCTAGTGACCCCAGTGACGACCAGCTCAGGTACACTTATGCGAATCACTGATCTACAGAATCCAAACACCATAACGAAGAGCACGCCCCAAAGCATCAGCAAATCAGAAGCATTGCTGTTTGATGTCATCTCTGCAGAAGATGGCAAAGATACTGGTGCAGGATGCACCGCTGACAATGCTGAGCCCTAACATGCTGAGTGCAAAATCGGCACTCAGTCCGGGCGAACCCTGTCGGCATAAAGGTCATGCTTGCTTTGGTGTTTGAAGTCGTTTCTTTGCTGTGGACTTGTGCACTGTCCTGGCAAGGAGCGTGCTGGGTTGAGCCGCTTGGCTCCCCGTCGTGTGGCCTCGCAGTCTGCTCGAGTTGCCGGCGATGCCACGAAGGCCTTCGTCTGGGTCTGCTAATTCTATCGTCTATTATATATATATATTGCATACGGTATGTCGTTTTCTATACATACTAGACATATCGCAAATCATACATCGCAAACTTGCAGTTCATACTTGATGTACGGTATGTAGAACATGTATTGCAGATGGCAGGTCATCTATTGCATGCAATCTATTGTCATCCTCGGGTCTAAATCTAAGGGTGGAGCCGCAGCTTGAAAGCAGTGGTGTGCGCCCGGGCGCCTGAATCCGGTGAAGCAGCAGATCCTGGGCGCACGCCATCAATACAATTTAATTAAGTACTAACTCTTAGTACCAAGTGGTATGCAGCAATGGGAAGAAGAAGATAAGCTGATAATTGAGTTCGGCAACCTGGGGGGAGTGGAAAGTCAAAGCCTCAAGACTCCGAAGATGCAGTCCGATCCGTGAAGCCTCATGTCGCCGCCTCCCAGGGGGCTCTAGTGGACAGGACAAGTTTCTTGTTCCGTTGGTCTTTCTGGATTTTGCCAGAATCCGAGTTCTGTCCGCAAAGGCAGTATGCTCCGGTGTTGTGCACTCGAAGTTTCAGTCTGCAATGTACAACAGAATTGTGGAGTTGCTGAGATACGACACACGCACATACATCACGTTATATGTATGCATGTATAATACATAAGATGTGCGCAATAATGTAGATATGTATGCATGCATGCATGCATGCATGCATGCATGTATGTATGTATGTATGTGTGTATGTGTGTATGTATGTATGTATGTATGTATGTATGTACGTATGTACGCATGTATGCATGCGTGTCTGTCCACCGGCAATGTTATTAAATAAAATACATGAAAACAGAATTAAACTAAATGAAATTAAATTAAATTAGATTACTTTAATAAACAAGTAAATAGACAAATAAACAAATAAATAAACAAATAAGCATAAACAAATAAATAAGCATATATATATACACACACACGTACACACACACACATACATATATATATATATATGTGTATATATATATTAGTATATATATATATGTATATATATGTAGATGTAGATGTTGATGTTGATGTATATGTATGTATATATTTACGCACATACACACATATGCGTGACATTTCCCTTCTGGAAGTGCCTGCAGGCTGTGTACTCGGTGCTCCTGCTTGGCGAGGAGCTGAGAAGAATGCCGGCTGGCATGGGTTGATTGCTGCAGCCAATACACCAGGAAATGCTGCACATGCCTTGGTACAAGTGCGATGTCTAACCACTTCGCTGGGCTCTCCGAGTACAGATCTTGCAGAATTCGAGGCGGCTGCCGTGCATTGCTTCCAAAAGCAAGAAGCACTCGAGGCGATGCTGCAAGCATGGGAAGGTTTGGGCTCCAGTTTCCATCTTCCAGACCTGGCAAACAGGCAGTTCGCGGACACTGGTGGCCGCGCAGGCAGACGCCGTTTTGCGACCTTGTGAATGAGAGAGTAGCTGGTGGGCATAGCTATCAGGCCGCTGATGTTGCAGACGCCGGCAATTTCGTGGAGGCCTCCGATGTTGGGTTCCAAGAACCCAAAAATCCCGGCCAAGCCCTATTGCAGTGCAGGACATTGTTGTGGGAGATATCGAAAAAGAGACGTATGGAGGCTGGACGGCATCCTTTTGGTCTTGAGCGTCTCAGTTTTACCTCGCGAGCAGGTCGGGTACATACTCGCTTTCCTCCCGAGCCAAATGGTTACTTGCACATTGGCCTCTCAGCCTTCTTTAGCCGATTCAGACAAAGCTGGCGCAGTCCTGCACAGCTGGAGGCCATGTGAAGTCGATCTGCCTTAATTTTGGCATCGAGCTGGACTCAGCCCACTGTTGAACTCTCCCCAGACGTTTCACCCCATTCACCCGATCGCGGAGGCACAGAAGTTTGATGGCAAGTGCAACCTGCGATTTGATGACACGAACCCGGAAAGCGAGAAGCAGGAATGCAGCTTCATGTTTGCGGTCCTAGTCCTCGGAGATGAATGTAGCGGTGTCGGGTTCTGTATTCTGAGATGTTGGCTGCAGTCTTCGCTGGCTGTCAGCTCGAAGCCCTTCGGCTCTGTAGGAATTGCACAGCTTGCCTGAAAGCAGGAGTTCATTGACAGCATCCAGGAGGATGTGAGGCCAAAGGCTAAGGGGCTTCAGAGTTCGAGCTTCGAGAAAGCCTCATAATGCCATGCCGGTGGAAGATTAAAGCATGGCCTGGTCATGGGAAGCTTCGCTCTAGAATGCTCTAGTCGATGCTGGAGTGGCATGACGACGATGAAAGGCATCATCCTGCTCGTGCGTCTCGACGCCGTCGTCGCCGTCGTCATCATCATCATCATCATCATCATCGCCATCGTCACCAGCATCACCAGCATCATCGTCATCATCGTCCTCGTCCGGCTTGGCCAGTATCTGTCGAACCAGCCATTGAAGGCAGAATGTCCTAAGGAGCTGCAGGACCAGCAACTCTTACTAGGCCAGACTGGGTTGACTGGCATTCCTTTATCCAAAACCTCGCGGCAGTAAGGGAGGACGTGGAAGCTCGCTGAGTTCGGGATCCCGTATCTTCTGAGGTATTGCTGCTTTGGCAATCTTCTGGCTAGTCGCATTGTTGTCCAGCTTAGGCATGGCCCCAAATGCCTGCAGGTGGATGGGCTTTTCGTGGGAGGGCGCTGAGCCTTGGCAGCTTTCCATGATTCCGGTCAGGGTTGGAGTCAAGGATGTTGAAGAGCTTTGGAGTGCGGCACAGTTGTTGGGCCATACACTGGTATTGCACTGGTTCAAGGCAAAGTGTTTGCATCAGGAGCGCTATGCTTCGGACTACTTTCCGCTGCTCTACTCCTGGGCAGAGGTTGGATCCATGACAGACTGCAGCGAATGCGCTCAAGAGGCAGAAGTCCCTACTCGTGAGGCTTTCATCGAGCAAGGCACCGGCATGCAATGCGGGTCATCGCTTTGGCAAACCTGAGCTTCATCTCCAGAAAGTGTCTCCTGACCTCGTTTGATGTCTGCGTAATGCCAGGTTGGGCATATGTGGACGAGCTCAGTGCCGAGGAGTTGCCCGGGATTTGGTGAAAGGTCACAGGGTCGACGTATGTCCTTTTGGGACATTTGGAGTTGCTGCGGTTCGGTCTGAGCACGTGGCGACGTAGCGTGCGAGGCATTGATATCGCTCCGCTGTGCCAGGAGATCTCCGAATACCGAGGCTCTGTGACAAGGCTTGGACTCGTCACAGCTTGGGCCGAACATAGACAACTGCGTGATTTTTGTTCGACACGATGCTTCGTTGATCTCCTTGAGTTGTGGCCAATAATCGGCTAATAACCCAGGGCTCTCGGCATCAAGCCTCGATGCTGAACCCGTTGCAGGTAGTGGCGAAGAAAGGTAACTAGGTAGGTAGGCAGGCAGGCAAGCGGGCGGGTAATGGATGTGCATACCTCTCTTTCGTCCGTTCGTTCTTTCCATGGCATCACATTGCTACAATGGCATACATGATATGTGGCCACGTCTCATAATTATATGCAGTCCTTTGTCGCTGCTTCATGAGAACCAAAAATGTCCGCTTGTCGTCCGTACATAGTTGTACTATAATACAGTATTCCCGTACTAGTGACTGTTTTACCCCCCACGCCCTGCTATACTGGGTCCCTGCACAAGCTAAGCTATGTTAGAATTTATGGAATTAGCCTCCAGCCTGTGTCGATCGAGGCCCGGGAAGGACAGTCCCTACCGGGACCGACCAGCGGAGGAGAGCCACAGCCCCGGCCACGCCCATGCAGTTGGGGATGGTACAGGAAAGTACACGGACAAGATACCCTAAACCCCAAACCCTAAAACTTGTATGGCAAGATAATATATATATATATACATACATATAACACATATAACACAAGGTGAACTTAGGCCTGTCCATGACCAACCGGTCGGCATTGACATCTCATGACAATGACAATAAGCCCCCGCCTCTTTTACCCATTCCTGCCTATCAGGCGAAGCCCACTGCTGTGGATGTTTCGGTTGGTGCAGGAATAGACGCATGCACTTCTGCACGGTAAGTCTGTGGGATGTTCCGATATCCTGCTTTGGACTCCCTTCCACTTTTGACTGCCTGCATGCAGTGCACTCTTTGTTAACGCTATCCGTGATGCTTAGTGACGTACTGGAGGTGAGCTGTTTGCCAATTGATGCACTCTGACTTCGATGACGCGGCTGCAAAAGAAGTTGGATGCACCGATCTTGTAACAAATGTTGACTTACCCGTCGCTTGAAAGTTTAATGTTGAATTCGAATCCACAATCCTCCGACGCTTGTTCTTGTACATGCTTGATGCACTATTATGATATAAAAATCATATCATATCATACAACAAATATAATTATGATAATAAATAAATAAATGAATAGGTCAATTAATGAATTAATTCATGAAGTAACAACAAAGAATAGAATAATAATAGTAATAATTGTAATAATAATAATAATCATAATAATAATAGTAATAAGAATGATAATAATAATACGGACTATAATATACAATATATAGTATTCTATTGTACTATACTGATTTCTTATTATATAAGTTACAGTATATTAGCATATTGTAGGATGCCACCGTTTTTACAAGATCGCGGCGCTTCAGCGGAGCTTCTTAAGCTCAGGCCTCCAGATCTTCCGCCGGATGCGGGCCGGCGAGATGGAACAGGCCAAATCTGACCATGTGAGCTACCTTGTATTAAACTGATTTTTTGTATTATAGTAAATATTTTTATATTGTAGTTGTCACGTCTAATGTAACACCAGGGCCTGGTCTGAGACACCATGGGGTAATATTGGTGAGATTGGGAATACTTACGGGGGGTATTGGACCTTGGAGACCGTGCGTGCCGCTGCTTCCGAGGGTTCCGCAGTGCTGCGGGCGAAGATTGACATGGCGCATCCGAATGTCATTTTGTTTGGCGCTGAGGTTCTCCCTGTCTTTGCATAGATCCGGTGTTTCAAGCAGCCAGGTCTGCCCCGCAACTTGTACTGGTAGCTGCATGACAGTCCTTCGCTGAGGCGGGATCCGATCATGTATCGGATACTGCCCAACACACCTCACCCGCGAACTGGCAGCGAGGCGCAAGTTTCAAGTCTTGTTGGCAACGCACTGAGCCTGTCCTAAATACGTTGTGCTGGCAGTGGCCAATCTACCCTTCCTACGACTGGGCTCACGGACTTTCCGACGCCATAGAGGTCCGGAAGAGAGTACTCGTAGAGCCTGCAACCCTGAAAGCTGACACACCGTCTTGCCAGGGAGTCACCCACTCTGTTTGTACGCTGGAATTCAACATGCACAATGACTCTTAGATGCATTTTCTGAGCATGCCTTGGAAGACTTCTGTATATCTCGTGACATGACATGCGCTTCAGGAGCTGTCGTAGAACGGTTTTTGAGTTTCCACCGGAGTCGCGTAGTTTGCCGTTCAGTCTGGGCTCAGGAATTGTATGATTGGTCGGGCACTCGGAGACGGGATAGGATCCAGGCTGCCAAAACTGCCTTTCTCCGAGGTTCAATGAGAAGGTGGCAGGTTTGCCCGATGCCCTGCCTCTCTGCCAGCCTCCAAGCTCCGCCCTTCCCAGGCAGGAGGGAGTTTCCTGCGAAGCGTTGCATCAGAGCGAAGCAGCTAAGGCCTAAGAGGTTTCCAAATTAAACCCTGCTTTCAGGCAGCATGAGTTTGCGCGATTGGAGATGACTCACATCGTTGTCTCGAAACCTGGCAGCAGTTCTGGTCCAGGGGTTCCGTAGGGGACCACCGAAGTCATCATGCATCCTGCACCTTGACAAAGATGTTGTAATATTGCTTGCGCCCAGGAAGCGGAAGCTAAAGCTGCTAGGCTGCACTGGACTCCATGCCATGCTACGCATGACAGCTCCGACCTATTCCGACCTCGACTCATCTTGTCTTCATCCGAATCCAAACATGGAAGTTTGCTGTCGTTAGCCAAACTGCGATTATCAGCTTTCGTTGAGTTTGGACTGCCGGTCCAGGCGCTTGGTGGAGGCCGGCTTCTAGGTGTGGGTGGGTGTTATATGGCTTCCTCAATCCATGTCCAGTGTTATGCAGCTCAACAAGCTTTCTGCGCCAGCTGTCTGGTGTGAAAGCGATGCTGCTTCTATGGTCAGGGCGGCTACGTGGAGGGCTGGGACGACCCACGCATGCCAACCATTTCCGGAATGCGGTGGGCCACTCAGATCATGCGGGATCAAGGGCGGCTTCGAATTTGTCAGCTCTGAGGCGGCGAGGTTACCCCCCAGCTGCACTGCGAAAGCTTTGCGAGCTGATCGGAGTTACCAAGGCCGGGGGAGAGGCATCTTCTCCTCATTTTCAGGTGTCTAAGTCGAGTGACTAGTAAGATGATAAGATGATAGGGGACAAGCAGTTGAAGCACCCTGGCTGTCCTCTCTCTCGGGCTCTCGAGCTGGCAAGGAGGCTAATTGAGCAAGCTGACTTAGATCACCCCACATGTCACTTGAAGCTCTGTGAGTCGGTTGAAAGCATGACATGCCCCTCGGAAGCACTGTTTTTGGGATGGAAGCTCGGTCGGCCATCTGCATGTCGGCGTGGCACTCCGGGGGGTAGGAGTTCCCAGAGCTCCCCCGAGCCAGCCCCAATCACAGTCCTGTGTCACACTGTGGGGCCTGGGTTGTACGAGTGCTTCTGCGGCAGACAAAGAGGTACCGACGAGTGTGATTGAGTACACTCTTCTCGAGAACTGCGTTCGAGACGTGCTCCAGGCACGATGCCCACAAGGGATCCCAACATGCTGCGTGTGGTAGGCTTGA